GCGATCCGTAAATGATTTGCCTGTCCCCCGGAACCCTTAACAGAAAACAGGGTCCCCTCCTTCACCACCCCCCTGCCCCCCACCCCCCTCCGCCCCGGCCTTGCCCATGGTGTTTACATTCAGGATCACATAGGATCTGGACAAGACGAATGCAGGGCATTCGCCATATGGCCGGAAGGAATTTGAGCATTCAGTAAATACCAGGCAGGAACAGAAGGAAATGCCTACGTAAAACACCCACATTCCTAGCATAGTTGTGTTTAATTATAGGGAATTGAAATGAAACTTAATTACATAATTTTGTCAGTACCTGGGTCACTGCTGCAACTCCGTGTAAAACTTAAAAGAGTCATCAGTAATCTGCCAGCGTCGCAGGCAGACAGCCCTGCACGGGGCCCTGGGGCTCCCGCTTCTGGAAGGGGCTGCGGGAAGGAGTGCCTGGTGCCCCCTCTTTAGGGGCTGGCGTGACCACGAGGCAGAGGGCCAGCTGTCTGGGCTGCACGCCCACCGCGTCTAGGGTGGAAAACCACCCTGCCACACCAGCTCCCCGATCACAGCCACGCGAAGGTGCTCGCAGTTTGGGCATGGGAAATGCGGGTGGAGGTGAATCCGAGGTTCAAGGCTGAGTGACGAGAGCTGTTTGCCATGAGAGTTAACACCTAGGCCTTCGCCTGTCCCCCGAGCCTGGGGCTTCAGCTCAGTTGTGACATCAAAGGGGAGAAGGGGTGCCTGGATGGCTCAGTCGGTTAAGCATCTGACCTCGGCTCAGGTCACGATCTCACGGCTGAGTTCGAGCCCTGTGTCGGGCTCTGTGCTGACAGCTCAGAGCCTGGACCCTGCTTGGGATTCTGTCTCCCTCTCACTCTCTGCCCCTCCCCCACTCGTGCTCTCTCTCTCTCTCTCTCTCTCTCTCTCTCAAAAATAAACAAACATTAAAAAAATAATAAAATTGGGGTGCCTGGGCGGCTCAGTCAGTTGAGCGTCCGACTTCAGCTCAGGTCATGATCTTGCGGTCTGTGAGTTCGAGCCCCGCGTCGGGCTCTGGGCTGACAGCTCAGAACCTGGACCCTGCTTGGGATTCTGTGTCTCCCTCTCTCTCTGCCCCTCCCCTGTTCATGCTCTGTCTCTCTCTGTCTCAAGAATAAATAAACATTAAAAGAAAAATTTTTTTTAAGGGGAGGAGTGAATCCCTTAGAGGCCTCAAACCTTTCTACGAAACAAAGGTGGCCCAAATCCAGCAAGTGTATGTTCTGAACTACCTCAGCTTTTCCACTCCGCGTGGATGGTCCTCTTTCAGAATGGATACTTTAGGGGTGTCTGCCCAGCTCATGAGCCAGTAACCCCCTCTTTCTCTTGAGACTGTCTTCCTCCCGTGCACAGGGTGGACCCCAGGAGGCCACTTGCCATGAGACCCGTGTCACTTACCATGTGGCCAGGGATGGAGAAGGGACCCAAGTGAGACAGAATGAGAGTCAAGAGTCCCTGGGGCAGGTGACTCGGGGCTGCCATCCTCCATGCGGGCTGAGGAGCAGAGAGGGAAACAGGATAGGTAGGAACAGGGACAGGCCTCCAAGAGAGATTCCAGGTTCCAGAACCTTCTAGAGCCCCAACCATGTCCTGGCCTTGGGCTCAAGATGTTTTCTCACCTTATGATAAATCTCCCTCCCCCTTCCCCCCCCCCTTTGGTTTAGCTAAAAATGGAAAACAAAAAAAGAATAAAGGCTTCAAACCTTGAAGGCTATTATCTTTTCCAGGCTGTTCCGTGTCACAGCCCAGCCCTGCCTCGCGGCCTTTCTCTCCTTTCTGGGCTGGGATAGCTCTCGTTCGAGTCCCTTCTCTGAGCCATAAAACAAAGGCAGGGGCATTTGTTCACTGAGCCCAGGTAACAATGTGTAAGTGTTCCCAGGAGGAAGGACCCCACTGCCAGCCTTTCCCTAACAGCCTCCAGAGAAGTTTGAATGTCAGAACAGAGAGTGCCCTTCTTGGAGCACTTGAACAAGCATTCTTCCCTGGGGTGCAGGAAGCAGGAAACACGGCCACAATGCAGAGGGAGGCCCCACACGAGGAAGGATTAACATGGGTAATCTCCTTATTGTTCGTACCACCTTGGGCCAGCCCTCTATTGGTCTAGGGATCAAAGTCTCCTCTGTCTTCCACCTGTAACAACAGTGACTGTGTTTTCTGTGGGTTCGAGGTCTGTGCCTTGTTCAAATTTGTATTCCTGGGACCCACAAAGCACGTTGCACGGAGACAGTGAACAGCTGTTGAATGAGATGTTCTTCTGCGAGTACATATTTCAAATTCTCTCCCACGTTTGTTTAAATCCATTTTGCGGGGGGCTCAGAAAGCCTTGCAAGGGGGGCCTGGGTGGCTCAGTCGGTTGAGCATCCGACTTTGGCTCAGGTCATGATTTCACGGTCCGTGGGTTCGAGCCCCATGTCGGGCTCTGTGCTGTCAGCTCGGAGCCCGGAGCCTGCTTTGGATTCTGCGTCTCCCTCTCTCTCTGCCCCTCCCCCGCTCACACTCTGTCTCTCAAAAATAAATAAACGTTAAAAAGAAATGCTTAAAAGAAAGCCTTTCGAAAGCACTGATGTGATATGGCACCACCCCGGGGGGGCTTTGCAGTAAGGGCTGCTTGGAGTGATTTCTGCCCCCTCGGAGCCTGCGGTCTAGGGCAGAGCTGACACCTCGTTGAACGACTACAACCCAAAACACGCCCAATTCAATGCCACGTAGGGGTTTAGCATTCACGTTGTCACGGACACAGAGCTTGGGTCAGGCTACCTCCCGTGGCTCATCACGATCACCCATTTCCCCGGCACACCTCCGAGTTACAACTTGGCATTTTATCTGTGATGATCTGTGGTCCCCCATATATCCTGGGCTCCGTGGGGGCAGGACCGGACCTGGTCGAGCTCGTCACCCAGGCCCCAGTAACTAGCCCAGCGTTCATAGGAGACGCTCAAAAGTTGTGGCTGAATAAAAGAACAAACTATGGGCTGTGGAGTTGGGAGGCGGGCAGAAGTCAAAGCTGCAACCAGGGGATTGGGACCCCGGACTCAGGAGACCCTCCCCCCGCCCCAACTTGCACACGACAAATCAAGAATGAATGAAGCCCCGCGGTCGGGGGAGAGAAGGGCGGGTCTTATTGGCTGAGCAGGTGTTTTGTGCCAGATGCGAAACACGGGCTGTGAGTCAACGCCCACAGCTGACTTCTCTCAGAGGCAAAAGGCAGCAGCCCATTTTACAGATAAGAAAACCGAGGGCCCGGGGGGGGGGGGGTGAAGATTTCTCCCAGTCATGCTGGCCAACTCCCACTCGGGTCTGGCTGGCTGCACCTGTCATGCTCTCTCTTCTCTCTCTGTGGCCTCAGTGAGTCTGTGATACGGGCCTTGGAATCAGAATGAGAGCAGACACAAGGGAGCTGCCTGGGACAAGAGTGACCACGACGAGCCAGGGAGGCCCAGGACATCAGGGAAAAAGAGCAGGAGTTAAGGACACCTGGAAATCCATTAGGATGAGGGCTAGGTCGCCAGAGAGGATGATTCTTTCTCCCAAGGCTCCCAGGAATCGCCCCCCAAAACCTGTGAGCCCAGAGACCCCACCTCAAAGTCCAATTACAGAACCGCGCTGAGCGGAGGACCCGCGCTTTTCTCAGAACACCGGACGCCAACTTGCATAAAGTAAGTGATACTTTTGACGGCCTCGCACAAAAGAGAATGAAAAGAAAGTAAACGTAACCCTTGGAGTCAAAACCCTTGAGTGCCCCAAGCCAGACCAGGCACCCTGAATGTATCTTCTCCCACCGCTAGACCAAGCACCGTGCAGTAGGATTCAGCTTATGGGCCCCCACCCCCTTGCTTCGGCACCCTCCCCACCCCCCTCTTCCCCCTGAAATTCTTCAGTAGCTCCTCCCGGACAAGAAGACCGACGATGAAGTCCAAACTCCTTAGTCGGACCTACAATGCAGATAATAATCCGGTTCTGTCTCCCCACTTGGGATCATCTCCTGCCCAGGCACAGACCCTTCCCTCGTGCCCACCAAGCTCACGTGCCCCCCGCCCGGGGTGAGACATGTTCTGTACCGTAATCACACAAATGTGTCTTCACTAGGGTTCCCCTTGCAGGTGGCTGGGAAACACACCTCGCATCCGGGATGTCCGGCATCTAACGTGAGATGGGGGCTCTTGACGAGTGAACACTTGCGGAGTACCGAGATTTTTTCCCAACAATGCCAACAGGCAAGCTTGTTGTTAGGCAGGGGTTGAAGTAAATATTTCAGGCCGATCTTTCGATCAAGGATGGCAGCTATAGTCTTGACATGAATGTATATTTTCCTACTCCCTTATGAACGAGGTTACCTTTGTTACCTACCCTTCATTAAAAAAAAAAAAAAAAAAAAAAAGATGGGGCGCCCGGTTGGCTCAGTCGGTTGAGCGTCTGACTTCGGCTCAGGTCATGATCTCGCGGTTCGTGGGTTCGAGCCCCGCGTCGGGCTCCGTGCCGACAGCTCAGAGCCTGGAGCCTGCTTCCGATTCTGTGTCTCCCTCTCTCTCTCTCTGACCCTCCCCCGTTCATGCTCTGTCTCTCTCTGTCTCAAAAATGAATAAATGTTAAAAAAAATTTTTTTTAAAAAAGTAAAATTTAAAAAAAGAAAAAGAGAAAAGGTCAACAGCATCCTACAGATATTAGTAACAGGGCGGAGTCCCAGTCATCCCAGAGCCAGCGCAGAGAGGGCGCTGTCCAAGGTCAGCCTTGTCAGCGGCACTCCTGACGCCAGTTCCCATAACAAACTCCAAGCCGCCACCGCCCGCTATTTAGAGGTCACGGGTAAGTTTCCAGACCCAACGCCAACAGCTTAATTTGGGGCATAGATGGCGATACTCATGTCTCGCGGAAACCGGTCTGAAGTCTACCCGAGGCACAAAAAGAAATACCATTTATGCTTCAACCTGTTGATACGATCCTGGACCTTAATCAAAGGGCACATCCGTCCCTAGGCGTCAGCACATGGATGACGAGGAGAGATCTTCAGGGTCGCCACACAAGTCTGCACAGCAGGCTCCCCCACGGGAAGGAAGGACAGCGGCTCCTGCATCATCGTCCGCGCGAGGGAACAGCGTGCAGGTGCCCCCGGCCCAGGCCACAGCCCACCCTGCCAAGGGGGACATCAGAGAAGAGACCGGTGGGGCCACCTCGACTGGGCCGGCCCCACCGAGGGGTCGAAAGAGGAAGGACACCGTGCTGGACACGCGGCCCCCGAGGGCACGGGATGGGGGAGTGGCCTCAGAGGCACTGTCACTGAGGAGCCAGGACGCGAGGACAACCAAAGGAAGGCAGGACCAGAATGGGGAGCCCACGGCCACCAGGACGGTGCCCTCGAAGCCTCGGGCCAAAGCGGCCACCACGGCAAGGACACCTGTGCCAGAAAGCCAGGCCGAGGCGCTGACCACCCCGGGAGCAGGGCCACTGAAAGGCGTGGCCTCGGCCGTGATGCCCCGCCGGGAGACACCCCGGGCCAAGCCACCCTCCACCCCTCGCCAGGCCCGCACCACACAGAGAAGCCGAAGTCTGCGGGCCGCCAACTTCAAGTCTGAGCCCCGGTGGGATTTCGAGGAACAATACAGCTTTGACGTGGGGGCCCTACAGACGGTGAGTCCTCCCCCTGGCTCCCTGCTCTGAAGGCCCCTGCAGACAGACAGGCCACCCCACCTCTCTGACCTCCCGGGCTCCGCCCCCAGGCCCTGCCTGGTCCCACCCCGTGCCCTCCCCATCCTTCTTTCCAAAAGTGGTGGGGGCTGGACGGGAAGGCAGGCCCAGATCCTGGCCCGGGCCTGCCCTGGAGCTCCCAGAAGGCCTGGGCAGGGTCACCGGGCAGGGTCAGAGAATCTACCCGCTCTGCAGCAGGACGGCCAAATCTGCATCCCGAATACCACGGAAGCCGCAGTGCCTTCCAACCTCTCAGGCCCACTTTCTGCCCCTGCCCCCAGCCCTGCCCCTGGCCGTGGCCTTCCGGGGCCTGTCCCTGCCTGACCCGCCTTCCTGCATGTAGACCTGCCCCGACTCAGTGAAGGTCAAGGCCTCCAAGTCACCCTGGCTGCAGACACTCTTTCTGGCCAACCTCACCCTCTTCCTGGACTCCAGCCACTTCAACCGGAGTGAGTGGGACCGTCTGGAGCACTTTGCGCCACCGTTTGGGTTCATGGAGCTCAATTATTCGTGTGAGTCTTCCCGGGGCGGGGGGGGGGGGCGCGGGGAGGGCCTGGGCCCACAGCACACGGCAGCTGCCCTCTGCCTCTGGCCTGCCTCTTCCCTGGAGGCCGCCAGCCCCGGGAGAAATGATGGGCTGCCTCCGGGCCCCTCCGGGGACTGAACGTGAACCTCCCCTGTTTCAGTGGTGCAGAAGGTCGTGACCCGCTTCCCTCCGGTGCCCCAGCAACAGCTGCTCCTGGCCGGTCTCCCCGCCGGGAGTTCCCAGTGCATCACGTGCGCCGTGGTGGGCAACGGGGGCATCTTGAACAACTCTCACGTGGGCCGGGAGATAGACAGCCATGACCACGTCTTCCGGTAAGCGGTCCGGCCCCGGGCTCCCTCCTACAGAGACGGGCTCTTCTGAGAGGTCTCGTCGGGCGTTCTCTGCCTGTACCTGGAAGGTGGAATCCTGGGCTCTCCGGAGACTCCCCATGTAGCTGCCGCGCCCCCCACCATTTCTGTGCATCCCCCCCCCCCCCCCACCTCTGTGCGTTCCCTCCTGCACTCACGGGTTCCGTCTGCCTCTTTCTGTGTAGACTGAGTGGAGCGGTCACTAAGGGCTACGAACAGGATGTGGGCACCCGGACGTCGTTTTACGGCTTCACTGCCTTCTCCCTGACCCAGTCGCTTATGGCCTTGGACGGTCAGGGTTTCCGGCACGTGCCTCTGGGGAAGGTGAGCAAGGAGGGACGGGCCCGGCCGCACGCAGAACCTGAACGAGGGCGCACGAGCCAAGAGAGGGAGCCGGGTGTCCTGGGTCTGGGGTCTGGTCGGGGCAGGGTCTGCTCGTACGAGGGGCGAGAACACGGACGGACGATGGCCAGACAGAGCCGGAAAGAGGAAGGGGGCGGGCCGGAGTCAGAGCCAGGCCGCCCTTCATCCTGAAGGCGGGACTCGGACCACACACTGTCCTTGGTCCTCAGGACGTCCGCTACCTGCACTTCCTGGAAGGCACCCGAGACTATGAGTGGCTGGAGGCGATGTTTCTCAATCAGAGCCTGGTGAAGACTAGCCTTTCCTGGTTCAGGTACCCCCGGCCCCCCCTCCTTCCTCACCCCCCAGCCCCCCCGCGGAGCTGTGTCTGGAGCGGCTCTGAAGGGGGCTGGGCGGGTGGGGACAGCCTCCGCTGTCTCCTGGAGATGGGGTACCAGGTGCCCTGACTTGGCCCACACAGGAGGAGGCGAGAGAACGGAGCGCGAATGACCCCTTCCTGCCCACAGGCACAGGCCCCAGGTGGCTTTCCAGGGAGACCCGCCATGGGACAGATACCTGCTGCTGCACCCCGACTCGCTGCGGTACATGAAAAACAGGTGAGGGCAGCTGAGGCGTGTGGAGAGGCCCGGGCCCCTGTCAGCCCTGCAGCCTCCTGACAGCCCCGGGGCCGGGGCACTTCCCAGGTTCCTGAGGTCCAAGACCCTGGACACTGTGCACTGGAGAATCTACCGCCCCACGACCGGCGCCCTCCTCCTGCTCACAGCCCTTCAGCTCTGTGACCAGGTGAGATTCTGGAGCAAGAGCGGGGCCACCTGGGGAACCAGCTGCGGGCCGTTCCTGGACGTGCCCAGCCCCGGACGACGGCCGGGAGGGCGGGGGAGTGTGGCCCCGTAAGTGTCCGTCCAGGGGCCTGCGTCCGGAGCCCTAGGGCTACAGCCAGGATACGGCCCCCCTCCCCTGACACACAGAGACCACGAGAGCGAGCGACTTCAGGCTTCTCTCTCTTCCGACCTTCACGTAGGTGAGTGCCTATGGCTTCATCACCGAGGGCCACGAGCAATTCTCCGATCACTACTACGATAAGTCCTGGAAAAAAACAGTCTTTTACATCAACCACGACTTCCAGTTAGAGAGAACGCTCTGGAAGCGGCTGCACGATGAAGGTATAATCCAGCTGTACCAGCGTTCCGTAACTTCCAAACCAAAGATGTGACTGGAGCCTGATCAGCAGCGGTCTCCTCGGCCTTTCCGGGGCACGGGGCAGGGTGGGGGGGTGTTGAGGCCTTCCGCCATTTTCCCGGGGCTCAGTTTGGGCTCCAAGCCCCTCCAGACACCCCCGGGGACCACTGAGGAGAGACTCCCAAGATGGCAAATGACTGAGGTTTTGGAGACCTCGGAACATCGCTACGGGTTCCGTTCAAAGGGAGGAGGAGTCCGGTCTGGAGACCAAGGAATTTGAACGAAATGGCGTGATGACTGGTCAATACCACAGATCCCTGCTGAAATTCACCCTTCACTGTCCAGAAGATGCTTGACACGAGGGGAAGAAGCCTGAACCTACGGACGCACGTCGAGTTGGCCTTTTTTTGGTGTTTTCCCTGAGTAGGCTTTACACCCAATGGGCGAGGAGCCCATTGAGGGGCTTGAACTCATGACCCTGAGATCAAGACATCTGCTGAGATCGGGGCACCCGGGTGGCTCAGTCGGTTGAGCGTCCGACTTCGGCTCAGGTCATGATCTCACAGTCCGTGAGTTCGAGCCCCACGTCGGGCTCTGTGTTGACAGCTCAGAGCCTGGAGCCTGCTTCGGATTCTGTGTCTCCCTCTGTGCACCTCCCCCGCTCATGCTCTGTCTCTCTCTCTCAAAAATAAATAAAAATGAAGGAAAAAAAAAAAGAGGTTAGAGTGGGAGAGAGAGCCGAAGCATAAGAGACTCTTAAAAACTGAGAACAAAGTGAGGGTTGATGGGGGGTGGGAGGGAGGGGAGGGTAGGTGACGGGCACTGAAGAGGGCATCTTTTGGGATGAGCACTGGGTGTTGTATGGAAACTAATTTGACAATAAATTTCATATAATTAAAAAAATGAGATTAAAAAAATAAATAAATAAAAATGTTCCTAGATTTGGTTTTGAATTCCAAATCTTGTACTGAGCAGCTGTGAAATCTTGAAGGCGTTACTTAATTTCACTGTAGATTGTCTAGAGGACCCTTCCGGGGCTTATCAGATTCTAGAAGGATCTGCACCTTTCCTTGTCTTTGAGCTATTTGGCAACTCTCTGAGTTGTAGACAACTGATAGTAATAAAAATGAGTCTTGTCCACGAAGATGCGGAAAGTTTTGTACAATGAAGACACAATGACTCCCCTGTGGATGGTGACCCATTTTATATGTACAAGCAAGTTCATTTCACATTTCTCTTTGCCCATATGTGTCTCTACTTTGGGCTGTCCTTTGAACCAGTATTTCCCTCTCACTGGTTCCTTCATCAATGAATAAGTTAAATAAAATCCTTGACGTGTGTTCATTTTACATTTGTAGGACAGTCACGATTTTACCCTTAAACACACAGCCTTCGGCATGTCCTTAGGCCACTGTTTTCTAATCTGTAACACGACTTTTAGGGTGTCCATTTCGCAACGATTTAAAAAATTACTGTATGTAAAAAGCCCGATACAACAAGGACCCAGTTTCCTCCCCTTTCATTCTCTATCCTCCCATCGTCCTGCATTTTCTCAAACCCCACGTTGAGAATTTGGACCCAGCCCAAGGCATTTCAGTTCGTCTTACCCCCCTGAACTCTGTCTTTAGGATTTGGACTCTGAAGCCCAGAAAGAATTCTAAAGATGCTAAACCGCATAAAGGCCCTGATGAAGGAGGACATGGAAGGCAAAAAGCAAAAACATAAACAAAACCAAAAAACAAACGCAAGATGTCTTAGACTTCTCGCACCGTGTTCCAAAGCTATTTAATACCAATAGGACAGGATTTGCTTTGTTCAGAAGGGTTGCAGTACCATCTCTGGGCAGCAGGTGGCAGCATCTTGGGACCCCTTGTCTGGGATGCTCAACTTGTCTTTTTCAGGTTTTCCTACCCATTCTTACGTGTTTATCCTTCCATGTGAATTTTAGTATCTGCTTAAGATCTAGAAAAAATGTTTTGGTAGCTTAATTGGAATTGCATTAGACTTATAAATTTACTGGGGGAGAGGGACACCTGGGTGACTGTCAGTTAGGCGTCCGACTTCCCCTCAGGTCACGATCTCACAGTTTGTGGGTTCAAGCCCCACATTGGGCTCTGTGCTGACAGCTCAGAGCCTGGAGCCTGCTTCAGATTCTGTGTCTCCCTCTCTCTCTGCTCCTCCTCCCCCCCCCCCCCCCCGCTCTGTCTCTCTCTCTCTCTCAAAAATAAACATTAAAAAAATATTTTTATATAAATAAATTTACTTGGGGAAACCAATGGAAGTGTCCCATTGAGTTCTCTTTTCCAAGAGCAAGACAATTCTCCATTTGTCCAAATCCATTTTTGTGTCTTTCAGTATTTTAACGTTCTCCTCATATAAATTTCGAACATTCCTTGTTGAACGCACTGCTCAGTCTTTTATCTTCTTTGTTGCTGTTGTAACAAAGCATGTTACAACGTGTTATATCCTCTCCCTGGTTATTATTTATGTTTGTGAAGGCTGTGATATACTGTCCTATTATCTGCACATAGATTATTTGCAAATTCTTCATGCCTCTGATTTATTTTTCAAGTCTTTCGACCGGTGTGTCCGGAGTGAGCCAACACAACAGTTTGCCCCACTTTGGATCCAGATAAATGAGCCTCAGCCTTTATGGTTGGGTAGCCTGAATTTAAATCTGAGAAAGTAGGTTTGGAGGTCCTTGTAGTAGAATACAATGGAAATCAACAGCCCCTTGACCAAAAAAATCCCTGATGTAGGAATTTGCCCTGAATATAGATCTCCCGTAATACAAAAATAAATATGCACAAGGTTATTCAACCGCAGCATTGTTCAAAAGTGCGAAATATTGGGAACTGCTGAGGCACTTAAGTGTAAGAGATGTAAAGTATGAAGAAGGGTACATCCATACAACAGAGGACGAGGCAGAAATAAAATGAGGAAGATCTCTGTGGACTGACATGGAGTGGTTTCAAGGGTGTGTGTGTGCGTGTGTGTGTGTATATATGTTTAATTACTTATTTATTTAAATAATCTCTACACCCAACATAGGGCTCAAACTCAGGACCCTGCAATCAGGAGTCTCATGTTCTTTTGACCAAGCCAGCCAAAGTGCCCCTCTGGGTATATTATTAATTAAAAAAAAAAAAAAAAACTAGGGGCGCCTGAGTGGCGCAGTCGGTTAAGCGTCCGACTTCAGCCAGGTCACGATCTCGCGCTCTGTGAGTTCGAGCCCCGTGTCAGGCTCTGGGCTGATGGCTCAGAGCCTGGAGCCTGTTTCCGATTCTGTGTCTCCTTCTCTCTCTGACCCTCCCCCGTTCATGCTCTGTCTCTCTCTGTCCCAAAAATAAATAAATGTTGAAAAAAAAATTAAAAAAGAAAATAATAAAAAAAAAAACTAAAGACAAAGAGTATTTATAGTATTTATACCTTTTACAAGGAAATAATTAAATAAGAAAGTAATCGTGTCTCTGCTTATCTTTGCAGAAAGAAAGTCAAGGAAAAGATACCAAAAACCAGTGAGACTGGTTACCTAAGTGGGGTGTTGGGTAGGAAAAGCTCTCCTCGACCCTTCAGAGGTTCTTCCGGCTGGCCTAAGAATGAAATTGACATGACACAGATTAATGGGGGAAAATCGAATTTAATTTCATACATACGGGAACCCCACATACAGGAGAGGTTCACAGAGAGAACAGTAAAGAGTGCTTATGCCATCCTGAGCTGAGGAATGGGATGGGAGCCTGGGCTTCACAGGGAAGGAGGACAGTAACAAAAGCAGTGGTCTCGTCACTAGACGATTGTCCTGCCACACAGACGGGTCACGCCGGTAAAATTTATCTCTGGTAGTTCCTCTTATTCTGGGAAAGAACTAATGTAGATTCTTCTAGGTAGTTAAGGGAAGGTCACCAATTTCTCTCCAGCCACAGATCTTGACTGCCTTCGGTTCTAAGTAGTCCACAAAGTGGCACATTCTGGAAAGACTTGCTCTAAGCCTCTTGAGGAGTAAGTAGGGGGTGAAGGTGTAGAATGGGGTGGGGGAGGGAGTGACATTTCTCCAAGTATACCTTTTGGCATAGTTTTGCCTTGGCACTCTTAACAAAACAAACCCCAACTGAGTAAATTTGAAGATCTCATTGGCTTTACTGGGCAGCCAGGAACTGGGAAGCATCCCATCCAACAAATGGAAAGGAGCTCCCAGGAACTAGAGGAAATGAGAAGCAAAGGCAGAAGGCAGTTGGAGGGGAGGGGTGGGGATCTATCGCGCAGATCACCTCACTAGGGCTCATCCAGGTAATGAGGGAAAGGTCGCAGGTCACATTCCTGGGAGAAGCTAAAACTGCCGTTACATTAGATGTTACTTCTTGGTTTGCGGATGTTAGCACAAGTGACTCTATTTTGAGCCTGTGGTCTCATTTTTCCTTTAACAGAAGCTTAACACTAAAAAAAAATATTAAAATCAGCAGGAACGGGGCGGAGGGGGGATCCTCACGTGGAATACAAAGATAAGTAATTGGAAAAAAAATTGAACCTGTTAAACTATTACTCAGAGGGGCGCCTGGGTGGCTCAGCCAGTTAAGCATCTGACTCTTGATCTCAGCTCAGGTCTTGATCTCAGGGTTGTGATTTCCAGTCCTGTAATGGGCTTGAGTATATTATGCTAAGTGAAATAAGTCAGTCAGAGAAAGACAAATTACATATGATTTCACTCCTATGTGGAATTTAAGAAATAAAACAGATGAACATATGGGGGGGGGGTGGAGAGAAGAGAGGGAAACAAGCCGTAAGAGATTTTTAATTTTTTTTTAATGTTTATTTACTTTTGAGAGAGAAAGAGTGAGTGGGCGAAAGGCAGAGAGGGGAGGACACAGAATCCAAGCAGGCTCCAGGCTCTGAACTGAAAGCAGAGAGCCCCACGCGGGGCTCGAACTCACAAACTGCGAGATCATGCCCTGAGCTGAAGTCAAATGCTTAACCGACTGAGCCACCCAGGCGACCCTAGAGACTTTTAAAGATAGAAAACAAACTGAGGATCGATGGAGGGAGGTGGGTGGGGGATGGGCTAGAGGGGTGATGGGCATTAAGGAGGGCACTTGTGATGAGCACTGGCTTTGTATGTAAGTGATGAATCACTGAATTCTACTCCTGAAACCTATATTGCCCTGTAGGCTAACTACCTAGAATTTAAATAAAAAACTGAAAAGAAATAAAAAGAATAATGCCACCCAGGGATGTAGGGCCTGCTTGGGATTCTCTCTCTGCCCTTATCCTGCTCGTATGCTCACTCTCTCTCTTTCTCTCAAAATAAATAAACATTAAAAAAAAAATACTGGGGCACCTGGGTGGCTCAGTCGGTTGAGTGTCCGACTTCGGCTCAGGTCATGATTTCACAGTTCACGGGTTCGAGCCCCACATCGAGTTCTGTGCTGACAGCTCAGAGCCTGGAGCCTGCTTCGGATTCTGTGTCTCCCTCTCTCTCTGCCCCTCCCTGCCCACACTCTGTCTCTCTCTCTCTCAAAAATGAATAAACATTAAAAAACTTTTTTAATGCAATT